CGCGAGTGCATACTTCATGGCAAGGAGTTCCTTGTCATGCACTGGATAGTTCCACTCAGCTGGTTGCAGCTGACGCGACTGATAGCAGACGACGCGTTCAACGCCTTCAAGATCGTACTGCATTAATGCACAGCCGATTGCGAAATCGCTGGCATCACAGACCACATGAATGGCCTGTCCTGATCGGCTATTGCTAGGACTGGGGATTGTATCAAGCTCTGCTTGATACCCTCAAAGGAGCGCTGACATTCAGCGTTCCATAACCACCTCTCGTTCTTTTTCAACAAACGAGAGAGGTGCACAGTCATCTCGGCGTAATTGCGTGAATACTCATGCAAATATGCCGCTAGCCCAAGGAATTTTCGAAGACCTTTGACATCAACCGGCACAGGCCAGTCGGTGATCGCCTTGATCTTTTCGGGATCAGGACGTACACCGTTCTTACCAACGATGTACCCAAGAGTGGTATTTCGCTTGCTGCAAATATACACTTCTTGAGGTTTGCGTACAATTGATGCTTTCGCATGATTGTAAGAACTTGTCGGACGTGGTACTTGTGAACCTCAACGTCCGACTTTCCATCCATAGCTCGACTATGGATGAATACGTCATCGGAATAACTCGGCGCGAATTCTCGTACTGGTCTCAACAGATGTGATACACATCTGTTGAACGTGGCAGGGGCATTACTAAGCCCTTGTGGCATTACTAGCCATTCCCAGAGCATGCCGATAGGCGTGCTAACTGCGGTATAGGGTATATCCCGTTCTCGTATAAGGATTTGATAGAAGCCATCCATCAAATCCATGGACGAAAAGATGGTACTCTTTGACATACCATCAATGATTAAATCCTTCCTCGGTATCGGCGTCTGAGCCGGTACCGTTGCAGCATTCAACTTGTTGAACGCGTGCACTATCCGCCACCCTCCTGTTGCTTTTCGCACACAGAAGGTCGGAGAGCTATGTGGGGAAGTTGATTCCCTCACATGGCCCGCAGCTAAACGATCGGCAAAGAACTTGTCGATCGCAAGTACTTGTTCACGAGGCAATGGCCACTGCTTCATGACACAGTACTTCGAGCCTGGTTTAAGCTCGACCTCGTGTCGAATACCTTTATCCTTCGGTAATTCGCACGGAACAGTTTCAGGGAATACATCCTTGAATTCAACCAAATCTTCATAGAGAGGATTTTTCTTGAGCGATTCCCATGATTGGGAGTCATATCGTTTAATTCGTGTCTTTTCATCTAGGACACTCTCGTCCACAGATGAACTACTGAGAACTATCTCGCTCTCAGTGAACACTGTTGCTGACCTTATGTCGGTTACACACTCGTCGTCAGCGACGAGTATGCAGATCTGCTTGACTTTGCCACAACGCAGATCACGCAAGAACCTTTTATGTTCGAGCGTTGGCAACTGAGTGATCTCCGAAGTCAACTTCGGAGGCGCAATCAGATCAAGTGTATAAGCGCCTACACTTGATCCGTTATTGACTATGACATTCAATGTCTCTGTCATTTCCTGGGGACTTATTCCCTCAGGCTTCGAAGGACTTATTCCTTCGTCTTCCCGGGGACTTATTCCCGCGGGTTTCGGGGAACTTATTTCCGCCGTATTTGTAATCTTGGGACTTATTCCCTTTACTTCCTCTAGCTGGGGTTGCGCAGCCACAGCGAGATCCTCTACGAAAGACTCTCCAGTCGATCTAGGATTATCGTTTCGCTTAACCTGAGCGATCGATTGCTTCTCTTCTAGATGCTCCCCGCTAGGGATACATCTTTGTCCCAGTCCACCCGACTTATTCGAGTGGTGGACCTTCGGCGCAGCCTGTGTTTCCTCACAGCCGCCGGAACTTTGCTCCGAAGTGTAACCGTTTGGTACACTAAGGTTTTGTGCAGTCGTACTAACGACCGTACCACAAGTGGGGCCATCGCACTCACTCGTAGTACATCCACACGCTTGTGGACGCTCCAAAACGTTCATCAGATGGCCATCTGGTGAACAAGCGGCAGGCATCGTTACTGTTCGATGGTTGCCAGTTTACTCGTGGTTCGTACCTTCTGAGCCACGGTATTCCAAGGATGACATCAAATTTGTCATCCAAATCCAATACGATAAAGTCATCGTCATACTGGGTATCTTCTAGCGTATAGTGAATCTTCACTATACGCTTCATGACGGTTACGGATGCGCCTGTCGCAAGACGTACCGTCATCCTCGTAGGAGGTGTGTCACATTCACTGTAATTGAAGTGACCATCTTCTAGCGATTGGCGTTGCACAAAATTGTTGGACGCCCCACAATCGACTAGAGCTCGAAGGGACAACTTATTCGTCACTTCGAGTTTCAAGGTAATGAGTGAGATCTCATTACCTAGAGCAGCAACGCACAACGTTTGTGTGTTGGGAGCAACCTTCATCAAGAGGCCTACAAATTCTCTTGACGTTGCTGGACCAGTAGGGTGCTCCGCACCTACTGATCCTGTCCGTTTTTTGACGGTCCATCCCGTTGTTGCGTCTTTGCACCAACTGCGGACCCTCGTCCCTGCCCCTTTCTCATGGGTGGACGGTCACTACGCCCAGTGTCGCGAGACACTGGACGAGGGGCACTACACTCGTAAGCGTAGTGTCCTGTCTTTTGACATCTGTTGCATCTCTGCAACTTCTTGTAGCCTGTAGAGCGAGCCTTCTCGCTCTCTACATAACAGAGTTCCATCGGCTCTGGACCTCCGTTGTCATATCGTCTCGGTTGACGATATGATGTCGAGCTGGCGCAAGCCTGTCTCAGACTGAAGTCTTCCTGCTCCGCAATGGAAATGGCTTGTTCTAGTGAATCTAGTTCAAGCCGAAACAGGTGAGTATTGACGGGACCATCCGCAAGATCCTGCATGAACACCGAAACCAACGTGTGTTCATCCACCGGATTGGAACTTATACAACTCGTAAGATGTCGTATATGTTGGGCGTAAGCGTGCACATCACGCTTACCCTGTTTGAGCTTCAAGAGTTCGGTTCGAGCCCTGAACTCAGCTCTAGGCGGTTCAAACGTTTGTCTGAGCCGCGACTTGAAGACTTCCAACGACCCAAACGCATATGGGTCGTGCAATTTGAGCCCCAGTGCCCAAGTCTTGGCACGTCCTGCCAGATTTGACTGGGCAAATGCAACTTGCATATCCCCGTCGTCGATGCGACGCGCCCTTATGGCGTCATCCAATTCGACGAACCATCTCAAGAGGGAGTCTTCTTCGACCCCCTATACTTTGAGATGTCAATCTTCAAAGTCTCGGGCCGACGCGAGTGCATCGACCCGCCAGCAGCAGCCTGCTGCTGTCTCAACAGTTCAAACTGTTGAGCACCTTGTTCTCTCAACAACTCTGCTTGTTGAGAACCTTGTTGGTGAAGCAAGGCTACTTTCTCGCGTTCTGCGTCAAGTTCATTTTGAATGAACTTGGCGATAGTAGCATGTTGGGCATCTCTATTGAGAGCCTCTAGCATGACGCTAACAGCATGGATGCCCATGGTCGAACCCATTCGTTCAACCGCATCCCATTCGACATCGCTCAAATGGGAGTAGCCGTCACGCGTAGCGTGAAAGCTTTGGTCATCTTCATCATCCAACATATTCATGTTGGATGTGAACGCGGTCCTTGGACGGACTACGAAGTGCTACCAGGTGTAACGGAGCACCCTGAAGCTTGTACTGGTGACAGTACAAGCTACTTATTCTGATAACAGAATAAGGCGGTGCCTCGTAACTTCACGTACACTGGTACGTGCAGAGGAAGACGGTAAGAAGAAGCGAGTACTTGGTTAAAGTAAAAAGTAGAACTGTATTTATAATAGTTAATGTCTGCAATAAATCACTATTTATCTTCATCTAACTATGTCTAAATACAAATGTGTAAATTGATTATCTGCTCACCACTCATTGCGTGCGTCTGTCGTGGCGCGTCTTCGTTGGTTGATATAATGGCCTATATCAACCAATTAGAAACTACTTGTAAGTGCTACAGAATATTTGTCCTTATGACAATATTCTGAGAATATAACTCTTATAATTATATTCTATTAACAATTTCTTATAAATTGTTATGTAACGATTCACCCCGTTACACAAAACGTGTGCGCGACCAACGCCAGGCTTTTATTCGGAAACATGAAAAGTACGTCCTTGCCAAACAAAGCAGTAATTTGAGTGTCCAATCCCACAGACTGCGCGAAATGTGCGAGCTCCTCAGCTTGTGCAAGGTAGTCAATCCGGTTGTCATCGCACTTTTCCATTTATACCGTAAGGAGTTCACTTGATGCATAGTGCACAATGTTGTTCAGTACCTGTCGTCAGCGCCACCACATGCATCGCTCACCACCACCAAGTAAAGATAATGCTCGGGCTATCTCCTCGTGGAGTCCTTTTTTGCCGTAAACAGTTTCAAAGATTGTGACGCGTTGATAGTAGCCTTGAATGTCTGATGTAAGCGTTCCATCACGTGCGCTAGAGTCAGAATCTGACCCCACCAAGTCTCGACCTGCTTGTTGTCTTAACGCTCAGTGGTACCACTAAGATAGTGCCCAAGCAGGTCCGTCTTCACATCTTCAGACAGGCTACAGACACACTCTACCTGGGCGTACGAAATCAGCCTTACTAATTCTCTGTCGTAATCTAGAAAACCGGAACCCAATCCGCGATATAGCTCTGAGCCACCAAAACTTTTCAATCGTCAATTTTTGTTGAAGGTCATCTGGTACCCGCATTGCATGTTCAGCGTCCGTCTCCATGCGGAGCGCGTATTCCTGGCAGCCGCGTAATCCGCGTTCGCATGCGGACTACGCGTTATTGAAGCTGATTGCGCTGCTCGCCATTATGGCTGTCCCGCTTCTCTTTCTGCACCATGCTGTAAGATGTTCGGTCGGCCATGTCCCACTCTTGGGCGCACCGATGAATGCCCAATCTCATTTATGTGCATTGATGGGCCACCGCGGCCTTGTCCCAGCGCTGATTAAAATATCCCTGACTCGATCGCGCCTATTGTCCTTTCGTATTCATCGCACTTTAGCTGCGAGACCTCCATCTGTGTCATCCGCGCTTGGAGGTCGACGAGGGCTGCGAGTATTCTTAAATCGACGTCATCGCCACTTTCGTGGACCATCATTTCACCTTGTACTACCGCTGAAGACGCCGTAGCCTTCTCGTGGCCAGCGTCAAAGCAGACTGGAGCCGATGTACACGGCGCACTTTCAGAGCCAGCCATCGGGCTCATAACCTGTTAGCAAATGCGTAGCTTTGGCAGTGGTAATTTGATTACTTTATGTTGTATTGGAATGTTAAACCTGCATCATAGTATCGGGTTGTCTTGCCTTCCATCCGTTCTTGAGGTCCTGCTTGCCAATCATTCCTAATGCTGATCGACTGTCAATCATCACGCACACTTACTCATACTCCGGGTGCTGCAGATGCCTTCGTAGAAAATATCAAATGACTATTCATCGTAAAGGCGTATCCCACATCAACAAAATGTCCATCTTCAACAACGCGTCCTACGCAGTGCTGAAGTATCAATCAAATGCTCTTTACGAATTGTAAACTTTTTATTAAATTAGTGAAATGCGAAGAACAGACCTGTAAGGTTGCCGAGTTATTTGGTGAGAGTTGTCATATCGATCTAAAATGCTGAGGTTGTGCAAAATACCACCCATTTGCATTATTGTTCGCGGGTTGAACAATAAACAAAACTATGAAAAATGGATCCCGATGTGCCAACGATCATGCCATTTTTGAGTAAAGATGTTCGTGAAGCTCCATCTTGCAAACAGACTTGCACAATGTGATACTACTACTAGCTAAACCGCACCACACACACTTGGCACAATTCCATCGTTAGTAGACAGTCCTATCAGGTGATGCATCCGAAGGGCGACCACAATGACTGACACACTTACTCGCACGCAATATAATAAGATATTCCACTGGTCAAGCAAGATCGTACAAGACTCACGGATGACGCAGAAACGGCGCCTTGGTCTTGAAGTAACCCAAGTCGAGCATCGCAGCATCTTTCAGTGGACCGGTGTAGGTTCCACCACCCAACACAAAGAGTTTACCACCGTCGGTTAGGACACTCGAATGCCAAGCGCGGGGAGCTAATGTATGGTCGCTCGGAACAGGTACCTTGACCCATTCGCAACTCCCAATGTCCAACATGTATAAGCTGCTATCCTCAGACTCAGCAGTACGACCACCAACAACAAGCATAAATTCACCGACAGTATGGGCTGTGTGGTAGGAGCGTGGTTGTGGAACATCTCCAACGCATTCCAACAACGTCCAAAGCTGCTCCTCTGTGTCGTAAATCCACACGTCATTCATTTTCTCATCGTTGAGCTGGCCATTTCCACCGAAGACGATGAGTCGAGGCGAATGGTATTTCGAGCTTTGCAGCAAGCACATTGAGTGACCATCCCGAGCCAATGGCCAATCACCACAAGGATGAGGACATATCTCATCCCAAGTTATTGTCGGGTCCACCACACCATCAGTGCCTACAGGAGCGACATCAAGTTGCGAACAGCATCGCAAGACTAGTAATTGGTTGGTTACACCTTGCTTCGTTCGCCCACCAAAAATGTACACAACTCGATGACCACTCTCTTCCACAATTGATATTGCTGCATGGCCTGATCGGGAAGTAGGTGCCTCATCAGAATGTTGCAAGCAGCGCGGCTGCAGCCATCTAAACCCGCGGCGTAAATCAGAGTCCAGTAGATAAACTCTAGAGTCTTCGCCTCGTGACGATACCCCGCCGTATACACAGTAAAATTCTCGATTTCTGTAGCCGATAGGCGTGGTCGTATGCCACGCACGCGATGATGGTGCAATTGTGCCTCGAATAGGCACCACCTCCCAGCTTGAATTATCACTTTCGTCCAGGACATACACATTAGGCTTTTGATCGCGCACAGCTCTTCCACCAAACAGAAAAACTCGCTCGTCTGTTCCTTGGAAAAGCGTATGTCCATTCACAGCAGCCGGACCTGGGTTACCTCGTACTGCATGCATTTTCCACCCTTTACGAACGGACACAATCGCAGCAGCTCGCACAGCCGCTCTCCGCAGTGTAGCACTAGCTGCATGCTGCGACACGTCTGTAGCAGTGTCCACAATAGTTTGAAGCTTCGTATAGCACTCTTTGTTGCACGGCTCAAACTGAAGTGCTGCTTCAATGTCGATGATGACTTCAACAAATTGCTGCAACGCGATGTACGCGGTCGCTCTGCGCATGTATGACTACAAGGAATCGTCAGTAAAGGTTCACTAGGAGAGGAGCGGAAAGAAAAACAGATGCACCTTTATTGTAGGTGCCACCTCAATCGCCTTGGAGCAGTCCGTGATGGCATGATCGAACTGCTTCATCTGTCGAACATAGCAACCGAATAGCTAAGGCACTTCATCGTTACATAAAAATAGCATAAATCAGCTGGACCTTCAAATAGGCTGCAGCTCGGTTCGAAAGGCAGATAGCGTTAGTCGAGTCCAGTTCAAGGCATCTACAGACATCGCAAGAATCACAATACAGTCGGTCATGGTTTGCTCTTCACACCAGAAGCAGGAACCCACGTGTAGAGACCGAGTGTAGGCAGAAATAGCGTCGACCATGAGACCTTGGCGGAATAACGCGTTCCCTTCGTTCTTCACGTCCATCACGAGCTGCTCGTCTGCTATGGTCTCCGTCTTTTCATCTCTTTCGTCTTCGCGAAGCAGATCCCCATGACCACTAGCGCTTAAAAGATCTCGGAGCTCCACAGTCGAGAGCTGCTGCAGCTCGCGACACAAGTCGTCGGTCATTTGACAAAATAGATAAGACCAAAGGCGGTTAGCGTCCTGTAAAGGATACAAAGAGAGCGAGGGGTCTGTCAGTTAGAACCGCTGTATTTTTATTGCGTGTGGTTTGGAAAACAATGTCAAATTGAGCTTCTCATTCGAGTTCATTTCTAATTTGTTTCTTCCTTTGGACACTGACTATAAAAAAGCCCTGATTAAAGCCTTCGGATGCATCAAATTGTTGTCGAAAACAACCGACCGACCGACAGACCGACCGACCGACCGCAAATATCACTACCACCTGATCCGAGCGTCTCTTTCGATCAAGAACCGTCAGACGAGATCGTCATGGACTTTGTGTGGAACCGATTCCAAGCGGCTTATCCTCGCAAAGGGTTCACAGTGATGGACGAAGGCGCGGGGAAGCTGTCGCAGCCGCTCATGACCAGCACCAGCGAGGACGGGGAGAGCGACGACAACGGCACGGAGGAGCTGGACGGCCTTTTACCGCATCAAGAATTCCCTAAAAAGCGCTTTGACGAGGCCGCAGCGACACAGCGGAAGCGACGACGGCGTAAAGACGACGAGGATCTGGGTGAAGTGGCTGCCGTTGTCTCTTTGATTGAAGCACCGAGATTGGTGCTGCGGTCTGTCAGCAAAGCCACGGTGTCGCTCTCGACCGCGTGGAGTCTCTTACGGCCACCACGCCGTCGCAGCTCGAGATCCAGGAGCTTCTTGCCGACTTCAGTGTCGACACGACCGCCGGCATTTGTCAAGGACATGGACGAGGCATCGGAGCGTGCACTGGCGGTACTGGCCGTCGTCACACTGGGGTCCTGCTGTCTGCTGCTGCTTTTGGTGTACATCCAGTCGATGTAGAGGAGCTGGAGGGTACATGGTGTCTTACTTACCAATTGAATTCACTGGCATGGTCGTGTTGTTCACTCAGGTTCACTTCTTTTTCTCGCGGTGGGACGGATCTCGCGTATCTTTTTGACTGACGTGGGTGCGGCGCTTCTTGCTCGTCTGCTGGTACATGCTGCTGGTTGTTCCTGTGGAGTTCATCTTGAAAGCGCTGGGACATTTGACAGCTAGTGGACACGTCGAGCATGAAGGGTGTGTCGCAGTACACACGGTCTGGCCAAAGCCCACGACCGCGACTGACAGGCTGCCCCAGTGTTCGCGTGGAATCCACTCTTCAAGAGCTCGCCTCGTGTCTTCGGGCGTCGAAGTTGATGCCCAGCCGAGTCGTTGCGCTAGACGATGAACGTGTGTGTCGACCACAATGCCATTGACTTGTCCCCATGCAACTAGCATGACCAAACGGCCGATCTTGGCCCCAATGCCTGGCAGCTGAAGGAGCTGGTCGAGTGCACGAGGGACATCCCCGTGGTATTGCGTGTGTAGAGTATCAGCTACTAGCTTGAGGTGGTGTGCCTTGCGACGGTAGAAACCCACTGGCTTGAGCACTGCACTCAGCTTTTCCTCGCTTGTGGCCTGCAAGGCCTCAATAGTGAGGCCCTGGTCGCTTCCTCCGACTTGATGCAGACGCTGCATCGCTGCATACGTGATTGAGTCCTGAGTCTGAGAGCTGAGCAGCGCTGCTACCAATAGCTGGAAGCGCTCGACTTTGGCGCTAGAGACACCAGAAGCTATGCACATGTGCGTTCCGAACTTGTCGATCGGCGCGTCCACGATCTCTTTTCGTGCTGCGTAGAGCTCCAGCAGTAGCTCTAGTCGTAGATTCGGCTTTACGACGCCGCTTTTCTGCTTGGACGACTGGACAGCAGCACGACATGTTCGGGTGGTAATCATCTCTGGCTTGACGTCCGTCAGAAGATCACTAACTGAAGGGCTTGCCACGTACTTCTCAAGGTCGGTATCCGTACACTCAACGGCATCTCTCGACTGGTGCACACCTTCTGCCTCTCTCTTGACATCCTTCGTCGAGCCACCATCCTCTCGACCTGAAGCAAATGCGAAGCGTGTGAACGGATTACCCTCGCATTCGTTCGTCCCAGGTATTGTCATCTTCACGCAAAGAACCTGAATGGGTGGTATGATCACGTCAAGAGTGCATAAAATCACGTCAAGAATGCACTACAAAGCTTGTGCACGCGCAACAAAAGCGATCCCGTGTTAATGTGTGTGTGAGAGGGCGGAGGTCGAACTGACCTCTTTGCTTTCTGAGCTGCTTTCTGAGCTGCTTTCTTCGTTCTCGCACAAGACTCGTGGAAGAGTTAGAGTGAAGCTCAAGGTGCATGCCAACGACCCTCGCCGGCAGACATCGTGCCTACACTATCTACGCCCTGTGTCGCTCTGCTCTTCATCCTCGGTTCGACATACGGTCCACGTACGCATAATAAATCTGGTCGAAGAATTGCGTGTCATCCAGCAGACCGATCAGGGTCTGCTTCAACTGTTCCTTGTTCACACTGGAAGCCGTTGGCAGGTGCTTATTTTGGTGCCGCACTCGGTTTTGCGAGATCATGTCCATAATAGCTTCACCTGCGGCAGCACCGTCGGCCTTCGATATCTGAATCATACCGCTCGAGCTGGTAACCACCGGGGCGATTTGTTGTTGCTTGACCAGGCCGTTCGCACTGCCTCCACTGCTGCTGCTGTTGCTACGCTTGTCTTTCGGATCTCGCTGCAGAATCGCCGTAGGGTTTGTTGCACTCGCGCCACGTCGCTTCACATCATCCTGTTTGCTACGCGAACGCCCTCGATTGCGCGATTGTGACACAGGTCGCTCCTGCTGTTGTTCCTGCTGCTGTGTAGGCTGTGACGTCTGCTGCTGGTGCTGCATCGTTGGCTTTGCTTGCGTCTTGCCCGGCGACAGCACCTTCGCGGGCTGCTGCGCCGTGTCCATTATGGCAGCGCTTTGTGGAGCTTTCAACGAATGGATGAGACTGCAGGAGAAGACACGACCGCATAAGCATCAACAAAGTGTATCACACGTCCACATCATAGCAAAAGAAGTTGCATACCGTTGAAACAACAGTAGGATCTTAGCGCGATCTTCTTCGGGAAAGAACCAGATGCCATAGATCGCAAACCCTGACGGGTACGTCTACAACGTCAGCACGAAACACACAATAAACACGCCGCTCTTACCACAACTCCCTTCAATTTAGCAAATCATTCGAGGTCCCACTCACCGAATCAGGACTGCGAAGGATAAGAAAGCTATCGACATTGTCGACTTCGAGACGGCCGTCCAGCTCTAGCTTCATGTTAGTCGTACTTAGTCGGTTGTTCACAAAGACTTGGAAGCGCGGCGACGATGCTCTGCATCGAGACAGCACAACACCACAAGTTGCGCATTGGTTATGCTAGGGTTACACGCTTGTGCTTCTTACAGCATCGTCTCTGCACCTTTTGACAACGAACAAACAGCCCTCCACGTCCTTTCGCTTCTACAACATAACAAAGCCAGGCAACGTAAGTATTCGTGGACCACTGTGCCGCTCTCTCTCTCTCTCTCTTGACTGACGTACCCAGCTCTGTGCGCCCTGATCAAACTCGTAGATGACCACGTGGCTAGCAGTGTCCACGATCTCCAGTACGTCCGCGTCCTGGCGCTTGAGCACCTGCAGGTTCATAGCGTTCGACTGCGCGCGATCCACCTGTGCCATCTTTTTGCTCTCGTTGACTGGCGTCGGACGCGCCTTCTGAAGTTGCGCAAACGAGGCCTGTTGAGCAACTTAAGCTTGGGACAGCACGATCACGAGGACATTAAACAACGGATTGAACACATTCTGATGGCCATCTGTAGCGTTGGGAACCAATAGAAATAGCAAGATCATATTTAGGACCGAATTACCATTGACACAAAAATAAGTCCAAGATCATATTTAGGGCCGATTTTACCATTGACACAAATAATTGATATTGCAAGATGGACAATTACAGGTGCAGCTAACATAAACAAAATTATAACATCACTATGTGGCGCATGATCTGCGTTACTGCAGCCTCATTATCCAAAGATGAACACATTTCTGATAGTCGTCTTCATAGCGAGCTCCAAGATATAAAGGCATTATAGTAGCATGTACTGCGTGTACGCCGCTGTCGATTAGTTTGCTTTGAAGTCTTGCAAATCGATGCAGTGGCCGTTAGCAAGACTCTGTGTGTAGCGGAGCTACACAGCTCCTTAAGTCAGAGGAAGACTTAACGCTCTACGAGCAACTTAGTTCTAAAGAACTAACGACTTTACGAGTCAACAAGCTTTATAGCTTCAGATCCCTCTTCCAGGGGACCTAACGATTCAGTGAATCGACAGCACTTAGTGCTCAAGAGTAGCTACCTCAAGGAGGTGTCGCTAACTCTTAGTGATCAGAGATCAACGATCAAGACGGCTCGCAAGCCACGTGTCTTTCAGATCAAAATGGGAACTGATTTTATTTTTGTTAAAGCCTATAGAATATCTTAATCCTACTCAAAGATCTTTCGTATCTAATGGCTGACACTCGTCAGCCCCTACAAACTGATAAGATATTCTATATCACCTTCACAGAAGCGAACCCTCAGGTGTGTAACACCTCTGGTACAAAGTACCATGATTTCGTGCAACCCCGTTACACCCTCCCCCACCAGACTGACGTTTGCCAAAACGTCAATCGAACTCGTGTTCTCAGCGAGAACAGTGCGCGTACGGTGAACCTCACGGTAACGTACGCTCCAGCACGATGTCCTCATCACCAAACGAGTCAAAGGCTCTGTGTGACTACCTCGGAATAGAGGAAGAGGTGGACTATGGTAGCGATACCAGTGTCCGCGGTGACACAGGGACAACGTCCGGCTCACTGATGCCTGAGGCACAACCTTCGAACACCCCAAATCCGTTCGCTGAACGTGGAGGTGCGAGCGCGCCGCCAGCGCAGCATGCAGCATCTGGTTCTGATGAGACTATCATCACGAACCCGCTCGATGAGCAACAACAACTGCTTGTTCAAAGAGTGAAAAGGCTCAGCGTTATGCACAGATGACTGCAACCCTTGAACGCCAGCGCGTTCAAGGGTTCACCCCGCCCAGTGTGGAGGAACGTCTGCGTCAAGCGGCCGGCCAAACATTGGCAACGTGGGTCATTGGCCATGGGCCTAAGACTCCTGAGGAGGTGGTGAGCTTCCAGGCACTTCGTGAGAGGTACCTGGAGCCGCACCTAACGACTCAAAGTCAATACAAGGCACGCCTTGACATGCAAGCACGTGGTGCACCAGTTCCACCGATGAAGGGTATACCCATTCTCCTGCTCGCAGGCGAAACAGCGAGTGAAGAAGACGATGCCTTTGTTCACTGGGCTCACTATGTGCGTCGCCTCAGCAACATTTTTGCTCTAAGGGCTAGTGCCCATGCGGCGGATGTGCGTCTCGAACGCAAGCTTCGGTATGATTTTGCCAAGCTTAAGGCCAGAGGCCAATTGCGCAAGCGCACGCGCTATGCTTCGGCTACTAAGGTAGCCGCGAGTGCTGGTCAGTCTGTGACCAACAACCCGCCAACCCGCACCACTAGTGGTGGTGAACGGCCTCGGCCTCGAGATGACCATGGCCACGATGCTCAAAAGCCTCCAAAGCATATGGGCAGTCTTGTCGAAGGGGTACCTCAAATTCCCATGAGTTTTCAGACTCAGGGTACCCACGCCACTTTACCAGATACTGGTATTGGCCCTGACGACGACGTCGTTTCAGTAGTCTCTCGACATGGAATTGACGACACCCATGCTCATCGAGCAAAGTCGGTGGCGGCCGGTGTACCGGTGGAGGCCCACGAGAAATTGGTTCTCGAAGTGAAGGGTCTTCAAGAGGCCTTGGGTAAGTCCCAGTGCATGCTGGATGCGATGCAAAGCCGCCTTCAGGCGATGGAGCAAGCTCAAACTCGGAGCGAGGCTCAGTTGGACTTGCTGATTTGTCTACAGCAATCCGGGGCAGTGCCCTTGTCGTCGGCGCAAGCGCCTCCAAGTTCACATGGGAAGGATCCCGGTACGGCTTAAGTAAGCCTACGTAGAACACTGGATGTGTGCGCAATTTGCGCAGGAGGTTTAGCGTATACGCAAGTCCCTTCTTGGCCGTGACCGTAAACGGTCCAATAAAGCGTGGACGCAACTTTGTCTTGAAGACAGCAGACACTACATTTGTAGGTAGATTTTTAGCATTGAGTAGTACTTGGTCTCCGACCTCATAAAGTTCAATACAATTTCTGCCTTTGGCATCAGCTTGTTGTTTTTGGGTATCTTGGCTATCAGCCATTGCGTCACGCTATATGTCTTAAGACATTTAATCGCGTTGCGAGAAACTCGCTTACCTGTTTTTGAACAGTAGCAGGGCTGATATCGGCAAGCCGATCGGCAACCTCTCCCCCACCAAGCCCTGATTCACGTAGTGATAGCGTTAACGGAACGCGAGGGTGAGTGAGACCGTTTATATAGAACGGAGTAAAGCCTGTTGAGGCATGAACAGCGTTATTCAACGCAAACTCAACAATAGGGAGCATTGAGCTCCAACGCCTAGGCGTATCAGCGCAAACACTGCGCAAAATGTCGTTGATGACGCGGTTTACACGCTCAGTTTGACCGTCGGTCTGCGGATAATCCGCTGTGGACATGTCCAACCGAGTGCCAAGCACCTTGAAGATAGACTTCCAAAACTTCCCAGTGAAGCGGGGGTCTCTATCAGAGATAATTGCCACAGGCAAGCCATGTTGGCGAAAGACACGGTCGATAAACAGCTTTGCTGTACCTTCCACATCAATGCTATGCGGCACAGCCGCCAAGTGAGCCATCTTGCTCAATCGGTCAACAAAGACCACAATACCAGTGTTGCCTTCCGAATCTTTCGGTAGGCCAAACACAAAATCCATGCTCATGGACTCCCAACAACCACTGGGTACCGGCAAACTAGCCAGCGGCGCCGCCGCATGTGCCGATGGTTTTACCCGTTGACACGTTTCGCACGTACGCACATAGGTGCGCACCCACTTATAAAGTTTGGGCCACCAATAACTTTGGCTCACCGAGCTATAAGTCTTCTCACGACCGAGATGACCACTTAAAGCAGTATCATGTGCCTCATAGAGGATCCGATACTTTAATTCCTCATCATGAGGTACTACGATACGAGGGTTGTCCTCAATATCCGTGCGATAGCACAACAGGCCATTATCGATGGAATATCGATGTAGCCTCGCACGTAAACGTGCCGACAATTCTATGTCCGAGTCTTTGAACTCATCGCTCCCAAGAGCACGTAGCAAAGCTACACACTGATCGTCCTTGGCATATGCCGCACGAATTAAGTCAGGGACTGACGACGACAGGGTCGTAACATGAGCAAGCTCATAGTCAGGTCGACGCGATAGCGCATAAGCCAAAGCGTTTTGCTTACCTGGCTTGTACTTTACCTCGAAGTTCTATTCGGCAAAGAAAAAAAAAAAAATGAAAGCCAACGAGCCATTCTCTGTGAGAGATGAGGCGACTATTGTCGCAGTGCGCAATGACGCATGATCGGTATAGATCACAAATGGCTTCGAGCCAAGCAGATGGACTCTGAATTTGACAAGAGCGTACTTCATAGCAAGTAGCTCTTTGTCATGAACAGGATAGTTCTTTTCAGCAGCTTTCAGCTGTCGAGATTCAAATGCGATGACGCGTTCGCGTCCGTCGACATCTGTTTGTAACAGAGCACTGCCTATGGCAAAGTCAGATGCGTCACAGACGACACTGAAAGGCCGACCAGAATCGGGCAAAGCCAATATTGGCGCATGAAGGAGACTCTCCTTAACTGCTTCAAAAGCATTATGTTCGATGTTACCCCAACACCAACCCACATCCTTTTTAAGGAGATTGGACAATGGCCGAGCCATATCTGCGTAATTTGCACTGTACTTATGTAAGTAATTGGCAAGGCCAAGCCACTTACGTAGGTCCTTTTGGTTCTTGGGGACTGGCCAATCGACTATGGCTTTTACCTTAGCGGGATCCGCTCGAAGGCCTCGCTTCCCAATGAAGCACCCTGGAAAGGGAATCTCTTCTGCACCAAAGATGCACTTCGATGCGTTCGCATACAGCTTATTCGTCCGCATACACCCGAGCACCGCTCGTAAATGATCGATGTGATTGTCCACATCTGATCGCCCATTAATTGCACGACTATGGACAAAAATGTCATCAAAGTACGCTTGTGCATAGCCTCGATGAGGTCTGAATAGTTGCGTTACCAACCGGTTAAATGTAGCCGGGGCGTTAGATAGCCCTTGTGGCATAACAAGCCACTCCCAAAGCATACCGCTCGGAGTACTCACCGCTGTTAGCGGAATATCGCTTGCTCGCATGAGCAGTTGGTAATAACCATCGACTAAGTCGAGTGCACTGTACAGTGTACATCCCGCCATATTGTTCTGAAGCACATCCTTTCTAGGAATAGGCGTCTGCGCCGGTATAGTGGCTGCATTAAGCTTATTGTAAGCATGCACAATACGCCACTTGCCATTTGGCTTTCTGACGCAAAATGTCGGTGTTGAATGGGGAGATTTACTCTCACGAACCATTCCAGCCGCGTGCTTAGCACGAAAGAAATCGTCAATGACGTCGCACTGTTCTTTAGGCAAAGGCCACTGCCGTGTTACACAGTATTTAGTTCCAGGAACCAAGTCAATCTCATGACGTACACCTCTATCGGGAGGTAAGGCAGAAGGTGAGTTGTGACACACCACATCTTGGAATTCCTTAACTAAAGGATAGAACGGATCCAAAGAATCTTTAAGGATCGAAGATCCACTTCGTGCACTGAGTGCCGCCTTTGTATCCTCTAGGACAGACTCATCCATTAACGAGGAAGAATTCAACTCAGTATCAGGTCTAATGATTGCTAACTCGGATAACTCTCCTGCCTTCAAGGCCTGGCTAAACTCGCCATCAGACATTTCGTCTAGCTCACACAGAGCGTCCACAGATGGAAGGGTTTCGAGGCTCACATTGCCATTAACCTGACCAGTCACTCCATTAACAAGTTTATATAGTGTATTGCTAATCTCACTATGTGACTGTGAGGACGCCTGGCGCTTTACAGCTGCTACTCGGCGTCTCGATTGTCTCTTCGAGACCTTACACCCCTTAGGGGTCGGGACAATATTGTCCCCATGGTTACTACCAACCATAGTACGCTCTATACGAGAGCTTTTGTCTTGACCGACATTAGGTGAGGTGCCCTCACGGCCGTCCACACTATACGGCGTATCGCCAACATTATCATTACTGACATTAGGTGTGGTGCCCTCACGGCCGCCCACACTATACGGCGTATCGCCAACAACGCCATTACCGGCGTTAAGCGTGGTGCCCTCACGGCCGTCCACACTATACGGCGTATCGCCAACAATATCATTATTGACATCAGGTGTGGTGCCCTCACGGCCGCCCACACTATATGGCGAATCGCCAACAACGCCATTACCGACGTTAAGCGTGGTGCCTTCACGGCCGCCCACACTAAATGGCGTATCGCCAAAAATGTCATTACCGACATTCAGTGCGGTGCTCTCACGGCCGACCGCACTCGGTGTAGTTTCACGTGCCACCATACACACATCAAAGGAATCACATCCTTGATCACTCGGCCCTAGGCCAACCATGCTTTCAGCATGCAGTGACTCGTTATCACAACGATTAACACTCAACGGAGTACGTGCCGTTTCACTAGACGAGCTAAGCTCGAAACTTATGTTTGTAACATTCGAGTTAAATAACTCAGACATTCCAATATCCAGCACATTGACATCTTCTGTCAAAGGCTTGCGCCAATAGCGCTTCTGCTGCCTAGCAAAGGTGGGTTCATGACTCTCCAAAGCTTCGCTAGGAACATTGCGCGTAGCGCCTAAAGTCTTAGACCTCCAATCAATCCATGGCTCATGGCGCTCAAGCCAAGCCATACCTAGGATGAGATCATATATCGAGTCAAAATCTAGGACAAGACAGCGCTCAATACTGTCAAAGTCTGAAAACTTTATACCTAAGTTCAATGGAACTTTAGGCACCGTTACGTGACTTCCGGTCGATAAACGAACCGTGATAGAATCGCCCTCATGCGCTATAAGCGCCTCAGCATAACGCTGACTTCCCTCAAGGGAACGGCGTCGAGCATAATTGCAAGACGCTCCAGAATCGATCAATATCGACCAAGGCTTCTCGAAGCCCTTAATTTCCGCCTCAGCGACCAACAAGCCAGACTTGTATCCACGCACCATACCCGTAGGTATGGTACTCTTTGGGGCTAAGCCCTGCATTCCTTTACCTTCTAAAGGTGTAACAGAACATAGTTCTTCCCCAGTAGGGCGCCCCGCGCCTACTGGGTGTCGGCATTTCCCCGTGCCATGCCAGACTTCTGACTCGGGCTCGAGTGTTGGCTCGTAGTCTGGCGTTGCTTACGCAAAGGGCAACCAGGCCGCAATTGTTTAGTGCTTCCGCACGTAAAGCATCGTCTTACAAAGTGTTTCTGCTCAGCAGCTTGAAGCTCAGCTTCACCTCCATCTTCAGCATAGCTGAGATCCATCGGTTCCAACCTATTATAGGCAGTGGTACCCGAATAGTTTGCTCTCACAGAGCGAGGATTGTATCCATTCCAACCAAGTCTGGCCGACTTGAAGTTATGCTCAGCATTATGAGCAATTCTCACAGCCTCTTCAAACGTAGAGGGGTGAACCCGAAAAACTTCGGTTCTGGCAATGCCAGTACGTAGACCTTCCATGAAGATAGTCACATGGACTGCTTCAGGCAAAGGGTCAGACTGCATTGCAGCCATGAGCGTTCGCAGCTCTTGGACATAGTCCGATAATTCATTCTTACCCTGGCGGGTAGAAAGAAAGCGTGAGCGCACGCGTTAAGCCTGGTTAGGTGGAGAAAACACCTGTACCAATTGTAACTTGAGCGACTCCCATGTGGGAAACGCTATGTCCACCGACGTGCTACACGTCAAGGCCCATTCTCTAGCTCTACCATCG